AGACGTGATATGATGTGGGCACAGATGTGTTGTGCCATGTAGATGGGCACCTGCACGTGAAGATGCCTACCCGGGATCTAGATCCCCTGGGGGCGTGCTCTGAGAGTATGGCACTCTCCGCCATTAGCCGTGGACTTCTGTCTGGAAATCCACAACTCCGCTTCTTTTAGAAGATTGACGTGTCCTGTTTCATTTCAGAAGGAGTTCTGCCATCCACATTAGCCATGTCAACGCCCTCCCTGGTCGCCTATGGGTAGCTTTTGTATGTGAGGCGCGGAAGCCCCCCTCCGCATTTGGGGTCTGGGTTCCCTGCTCTGAAGCAAGTGAGTGCTTTTCAGAGCCTGCATCCAAGGCCTTCCTTAAAACACGGAGGCGCCAATCTGTGGTTCTTTTGGCTTTACACCTCCCTTGTTGCTCTTCAAGAAAAGTAAGACTCTTCATCTCATGGCAGTCTCACTACCCGTTAGCTAGCTTTGCCATAGTACCGATCCAGAAACTCTGGGACCTTCAACTACCATTACTTTTCACTCTGCCGTCAGCGGCGCTAGCACGCCACTGTCGCTCCTGCATGTGTCGTCGTCTTCTGCAGCCGAAGCTGAGGGAGCATCGTGTCTGGGACGTGGTATTGTCATGGCAGAAAGAAAAGAGTAGCTGTGGAAATAACCCAAGTGCCCATCAGTTCATGAGTGGATTAATAAAATGTGGTATATGTATACCATGGAGTACTATTTAGCTTTAAGAAACAATGGTGATCTAGCACCTCTTGTATTTTCCTGGATAGAGCTGGAACCCATTCTACTAAGTGAAGTATCTCAAGAATCGAAAAACTAGCAGCACATGTACTCACCAGCAAATTGGTATTAACGGATCAGCACCTAAGTGGACATATAGGAGTAACATTTATTGGGTGTCCGGAGGGTGGGAGGGGGGAGGAGGGGATGGGTATATACAACCAAACGAGTAAGATGTGCAGCGTTTGGGGGATGGACACGCTTGAAGCTCTTACTCGAGGAGGGAGGGGGGCATGGGCAATATACGAAACCTTAACACTTGTACCCCCATTATACGCTCAAATAAAAAAAAAAAGGAAGGAAAAGAGTGTGAGAGTTCCTGTTTGGACATGATGTGTATCACATCTGCTCGTAAACCACTGGCCAAAGCAAGTCGCACGGCCCAGTTGACTCTTTTCCAGCCACCCATCCCGGCTGCCCCTGTCACAGCGGGCAGCGGGTGGTGCCTCATTGAGACCTGGGCCCCTTGGGGAGACTTTGAGAAGCTCAAAATGCTGGGGAAGCCCCTAGCAGTGCTGCTGCTCTTCCCGACCTCGAACGGACCCTGCAGGCAGCCCCGCCTTCGAGACGCTTCCCGGTGTCCCACCTCCTGCCATCCGCCCTCCTTCCTACTGCCCGGGTGTCCCCGGGACAAGGCAGCTCTCACTCAGGCAGTCTCATTGCGTTTTCACTGCAAGCCTGTGAGGACGTCATCGTCACCATCACTTCTAGTTTATAGACCAGGAGGATGAAGTAACTTGCCACATGTATATGTTGAGTAGTAAGTAGAAGATCCTGAATTTGAACTGTTTCTCTGACTCCAGATCATATGTCCTCCGAATGGCAATGTGGATGTTAAAAATACCGTGTGTTCTGCGGGCACAACAGGGTACGTGGAGTAAGAACTATATATGGATAAAAGTTGAAAAGGAACAGAAAAAAATGAAGTACTTGGCCTTCAGGGTAGCAGAGTCTTATTTCTTTTTTATATGTTTTAAAGTTGACTTAATAAATACGTTTTTAAATAACAGACGTTTAGCTCTTAGCAAGTAAGAGATTGGAAGGTGATGGGAACGGGAGAATCAGGCATCTGTTTGTCACTAGCTTTTTGGGGGACGCAGAGACTTAGGCCAACTATCAAACACCATAGTGTTTGACAGGCTTCTTCCTTGTAAAGCCTCCTTCGGTCCCCAGCTTCCCTGTGCGAACAACTGCTCTAACTCCTTTGATGAGCAAGGCAGGATCCTGTGCATTGAGAGGGCTAACGCCAGATATAGCTTGGATTAAGACCAGATACTGCACAGAGAGTTGAGGTTGGGCCACAGTGAGGAAGAGAAGAAAATGTCAAATGTTAACAGAGAGTATCCCCTAAAACTGAGTACAAGCAGTGCTGCAGGATTTGGGCCAGCTGGGGTAAACGCAAAAGAGGCAGCTGTGATAGAAAATATAAATGCAATAAGAAGTCTAGGAGGCACTTCAAGAGCTTTCTGCTTTTGGGAGCCCCTTCCAAAGACCCTCAGCCCCACCTTGTAGACTGGCCTCTGGGTGCTCAGTCTGGCAATCACTGTGCTCCTAGGTAGAAATTTTATGTTTTCAAGTACATCTAACATTATCGTAGTAAGTATATGACATTAACAGAGAATCCTCCTTTTTCTTTTATCTTGGAACAAGGTTATCTTTTCTCTTAAAATTATTTCTGTCTTGTATAATTAGGTTTCTGATAATAAAATGTACTGTGGGCGTGCATCTTCTTGATCAACAAAGGTATTTCCATGTATTTTTGTTATTTATAGTAGGGGGTTGTTTTTGTTTAGATACACTTTTATTTAAGTCATTTTCTGAAATATTACATATGAACATTAAAAAATCATTAAACAGTTAGCTCACATCACAGGTGTGACTGGGGTCCCGCAAAACTGACCTTATAGAAGGTTGGATTTTACATGGAAGAGCAGACTAAAGGTTATGTATCATTGGCCCCAACCAATAATGTAGTTATTTTTTCAAGGTAGACTTTTAATAATTTAAACAGTAACAAGAGTGATTGTAATTTTTACATGTTCTTAAAACATACATTTCATTTCGAAGCCATTCAGATTTTAGGGATGAGAAGCGTAAGAGCCTGGCATCAAGATCTATGCCTTTACTGTCAAATTTTAGACTTTTAAAACTCTGTTTTGAAGAAATTTCAAACCTTGCAAGAATAGAACAATGAATTTGTACATACCCTTCACCTAAACTCACAATAATTGTTAGCCTTTTGCCCCAATTTCTTTTTCTTTCCTTCTCTTCCCATGTGTGTGCACATACATTATGTTTACCTATTTTCTGTGCCTCCTAAGGACAAGGGATTCTCTTACATAACCAGAACTACACTACAGTGATCAAATTAGGACATTTAAAAACTGATACAATATTATCTCATCTGTAGGCACTATTCACAATTGGCTAACTATGCCAGTATTATTTACAGCATGCCATATCTCCCTCATCTCCTACAATCTGAATATTTCCTCAGGTTTTTCTCTTTTTTTGATCTTTTATGGCTGATGTCTTGGGAGAGGACAGGCCGGTGGTTCTGTAGAATGTCCCTCACTTTCGGTTTACCTGACAGTTCCGCAGTTTTATTCAGGTTATGCGTCTTTGGGAGAGTTACTACTACATGAGGTAAGAGATGCCGTGTCCTCTTGCGTCATGCCAGGAAGCACCTGATGTCAGTTTGCCCCATTATTTTTTAGGCACTTCAGTTTTATTATTCTCCAGAATCGTACGTATGCTCTATTATCTGAGATCAAATCCAGCTTACCTATGTCATAGTGGATATTTTTCATCCAGCCCAGAAGTTGCTCCTCACTGAGATCTCTTTATTTTGTGAATTTATAGATTTGGAGTATAAAAACACATTGGAACTGATACATCAAATTAGCCCAGGCATTTTATTAATATTAGTCTACTTAGGAGAAATAGGAGTAATTCTCAAGTCCAGTCTGAAGAAATACATGTTTAACAAAGAAAAGTTAGTTCTTAGCTCCTCTGTACAGCTCTTCTATAAAAACATAATCTGTCACAGGGTTCCTTTCATAGTAAGCTGCCTGCTTTGTCATATGTGATTCAATTTATGTAAAAGAAGCTTTTAGATTATGATTGTTAAGGTGATAAATACGTTAATTGGCCTGATTTAATCATTTCACTCTATGTGTGTGTATATATATCAAAACATCACATTGTACGCTGTAAATATATACAATTTTTATTTGTCAGTTATACCTTAATAAAGCTGGGAGGGAGAAAGTCTGTTTTCATATATTTGACAAAGACATCTATTGCGTAACATATACACATTGCGCCATTATGTGAGATGTAATGGTCTAGCCTAGGATTTGGTTTTTGACAACCTACAAGGCTGCCCTTTGTGATGCCGATCTCAAAAATGTTAAGAATGTACCCCCAGGCATTTCTTAAGAAAGGGTTTTGGATTTTTTGACCATGAATTTATCTTGAATCTGTTTATATTTTCATTTGTGCCATTTGGGGAGTAATGAGTTGCATGTTCCACTGGTATTTAGGTATTGTTCCTTTTTTTCCTCCTTAATTCAGGGGTTACAGACTCTAAACGTCTAACATTCTGAGTCGGTGAAGGGGTCTGGGTATAAGGACTGAAAATATGAGAGGGGCCGTCCCGGTACCGGAGCAGCCACCCTCAGCTTCCGCGGATCACTGCCCTGCGGGACTGCGGGCCAGAGTGGCCAAGATGTTCTCATTTTTCCCTAGAAGCCACAAATCTGAATTTTTAAACGCTGTGAATTCAGTAAAAAAAAAAAAAAAAGTAAAAGACACTGTAGAAAATAGATATCTCATGGCTTGCTAGTTTATTTCTATCTCAAATATCTCTTTTACATTTTAAGTGTCCTTTCTAGTTTCTGAGACTTTGTATGAATCCATGGTTTCCACCCGATTACCCCCTCCTAACTGTGACAACTTTTATCATATCATTCTTTCAGGTATCCTCTTAACACGCTAAAGACTGTTTTAAAGCTACTCTGTGATTATTACATAGAAACAGCTCCATGTGCTACATTATTTTATTGACCTTGACCCAAGGCACACTAATATACGATAGTAAAATTACAAAATCAGTCCTTTCATCTGCTGCTGTTATCAGTTGTTGTTCTTGAGGGTGAGTGGTAACTTCATGGCCGGACGCCAACTCTTGTAACCTTCTCTCCGCAGCCGTCATTTCATCAAGCGGATAACGTCCGGGGCACCCGCCACCACGGGCTGGTGGAGCGGCCAGCCCGGAGCCGCTTCCACCCCCTGCACCGAAGGTCCGGGGACAAGCCGGGACGACAGATATCCTTTTTTGCTGTCTGAGGGGAGCACGAGTTTTGAAATGTTTGGAAGGTTTTCAGGTTTATCTTCCCTGCATTCCTTTGGACTCAGAAGCTTCATTTAATCCGATGAACAGAGGCCCTAAAAATAAACGAGCTGGAAATAAGAAACGTGTCTGCAGCCAGAATTTGGGAGGATCGCTGTAGGTGTGTGCTGCATGAAAACGTCGGTAAAGTGCAGTTCAGTGAAATGACTGAACGTAAACCTGTAGGCCAGCCCCGCTGCAAGGTGTCCTCAGCATTTTCTTCAGAAATCAGCAAGATCAGAGTTAAACCTGACTTTGAACCAGTTTAGAGAGGTTTAGTCCATCTAGCAAAAACGGAGATGCAGATATGTGATTTACTTGTATTTCTGTTGATGTGCTGATCTGCTTTTGGAACTTGCAGAAGAAATGTCATGTGATTTTTCTATTTGTGGAGTTTCGAACTCAATAAATGACAACTAACCCTTAAATCTAGTACTCAGGAAAATCTTATGCAGTGATGTATACTCACATCAAACTGCTGTGTAGAGATAAAGAAAAGGAGGCGATGGATTCGCTTGGCAGTTTTGAGTAATCAGTACTTCCCAGGGGGAGGAGGGGCGTGGTGGGGGCAGGTGACCAGCTTTGCGCCGAGGGCTTTGGGGATACAGGACGGGCTGGGCCTTGTGGGGGAGGACGCAGAGTGTGCCAGGGCAGGGGCGGAGGGAGGAGAGAAAGGCGGGCCGAGCCTCGCTGCTCTGCTCTGCGGAGAGCCGAGTTCCTGGCAGCGAGGGCAGAGCTGGCCCCGAGAGCCCAGACACCAGGAAGCGGGGGGAGGGCGCCGTGTTTACAGCAGCGCGCCTGCCCGTGCCCTGCCGGGCTCTGTGCTGGGCGATTTGCATGGCGTTCAGTCCTCAGAACTCACCGAGCCCTTTATTTTGTTAACCCCCATTTTCTGATGAGGCAGCCGAGTGTCAGAGTGACTGGACTTGCCCAAGATTCCACTGCCGTGGCCGTAGGAGCCTGGGGAGTCCAGGCCAGGCCTGTGTCGCTGCCACCCGCCCCCTCCACGCGACACGTGTCCGCTCCGTGGTGCAGGAGACACCGAGGGGGGGGGTGTGGGCGCACACGGGGGAACCCCCAACTTTGCTTGCTCTCGCACCTCTCGAAGTCGTAATCTATGTGGAGGCAAGGACAGTAACGCCAGGGGGTGTTTATGTCCCCCCTTCCGTCACCCTCAGGGACACACCACATGTGGTCCACAGAGGCACCCTGGCTAGTTTTATATGTCACGTGGCCATTATGAGGGAAAGTAAAAATGATAAATGGTCTTGAGAACTCTCTTCTGGAATGTCTGATAACTTTAACATAGAATGAAAAAGGTAAGAAGGATTTGAGGCAATTCTTCACTCGTTTGCACGTGCGGGGGCGGGGCAGCACATCACGTCGTGGTCCACATTGCTGGGAATTTTCAAGCTGAACCCGTTGAGTGCTTCTTTGCTTGATTTAGCTATATACATATACATATATATATATATGTATATCTATATTTAATTTCTCAATTGCCTCTTTCTCCGGTCAGTGCTCTCATTTCTATGTATGATACATAATGTGTGTGTGTGTGTATATATATGTGCATATGTATATATGGCCATCTCAAATACTTTTTGAAGCAAGTATAGTCTAAATATCAATGTATACACATAGCTTTATTAACCAAAGGAACAGAGGAGGAGGGAATTGAAGAAAAGAGAAAGAAGAGAATATTAATTCCTTAAAAACTTTGCTAAGTACCTGGGAGCACTCGGGCACCACTTCAGACGCTGTGAGCGAGGCCTGGCCCCTGCCCCTGGGCTGCTGCTGGCTCAGTGGGCGAGGCAGCTCAGCAAGCTGGTGGCCACGGCACAGCATATCATCTGTGGCCAAGGCGTGGCGGGCCGAAGTGAGCGCATCGGAGGTGCGGCTTCAGCCAGTACTGGGGAAAGAGAGAAGGTGTCCTTGGGCAGAATTTGAGGCGTGAAGGATAAGAAGCAATGGCGTGATGCGTTCATTCAGCAGATATTTGCAGAGCCCCTCTCTGCACCCGGGGCTGACCCAAGCCCTGGGGACTTGGTGATGAATAAGGGAGACATAGTCCCTGCCTTCTTGAGTTTGCAGTCCTGTGGGAGAAGACAGACAGCAGACAGGCAAAAAAGGAATGCAGATGGTGGGTAGCCAGTGATATATGAGAGAGTGAAGTAGTTGGAGGGTGTGTTCCGGGCAGATGGAAGAGAATGTGCAAAGGCCCAGAAAGGGACCCTGTCTCTTTGCAGGTCACGTATCGTGGGGTCTAAGCTGACTCTATACATGGGTCCACTTGTGGGAGCATCCTCAAAGCTAGTCAGATCCTAAGGGAAGGAGAAACAAAACCCAAATTAATATACAGATAAATTAAAGTTGCTCATCAGACAGTAGGAGTCTGAGTCACTGATCATGAGCCCCTCGTCGGGTCCTCGGACTGGACATCTGGTGATGCAAAGAAAGTTCTTTAGCCCTGGGTTGCCCATATATCAAGCAGTCTCTTCTGTGGAGTCAAGGGACCATGAGCTCGTAGTAAAATGTAAACACGGCATGATTTCACACTGAAGGCATTAATCTGTTCAGGAGAATTTGGAGGAGGAGGGCTGAGATTCCGTCTTTGCTTCCATGGCCTGCATCCTGTTGGTTGCAAAATAAGTCACTTAAAATTGTTGCCTTGGACATTTATCCATTATTACCTTTTTAATGACCTTTCATCATTTGAAAGTATGAAAACTGGTTTGAATATTTTTGGAAAAAACAGAAAAAAAATGTATTCAGGACTCTCTTGTTACAGCTGTTTCTTGGTTTGAGTGTTATTTTAGGATGGGCAAAGTGGCTTAGACAAGGTTCAGTCCTGTGATACAGTCTCAGATAAAATGAACATTGTTCGACAAATATTCCAGCTTCCTCCCAGAGTGGGCAGCCGCAACAAGCCGGGCCCTGGCACAGGCAATTCCTGCTGCAGTGGGTGGCTGCACTGCAGAGAAGGCCAGTGCAGTGGGCTGGCTGCTGGCGTGGGTGGCACCACAGGCAAAGACCAGGGCGCCGCCTGGCCAGGCCCCAGGCAGGCAGCCGAGAGACGTCTCCAGAGCCTGCTCCTGGCTGGGGGCTTGGGCTCGAGCACTCGGAGTAGAAGCTTCTCTGCCTTTCTGCAGCTGCCCGGTCCGTAGCAGCCCTTCTCACTCCTCGGTCAAGGGCAGCAGATGTGCTGCATCCCAAACACCGTCCTGTTGAGTCTCTAAACTATTAATGTAAATCTACAGCAAATGAAGAAGTTCTTTCTCAGACCTGTAGGTGATACATTGAGAAACAGGGGACGTGCTGAAGAATCATAGAAAATACTCTCTTCTAAAGGAGAAGTGTTTTTTTGAAAGGGAGAAGAACATGTTTAGAAAGTTTCCCAACAAAATCTCGAGCTAACTGGTATGAACAGGCATCAAGAGATGCCGTCACACCTGCCAGAGTTAGGAATGATTCTCCTCTCTGGGATGGGCCTCGCTTTGATTCTTTTCGTCACAATGAGATGAAGATTTTGGGACATTGGTTTATAGGACACTGTTTCTTTGAAATGCATGGCCTATTACGTTTGAGAAACTTGGAGCCTCACAGTGAATATTCACAGTGTGTTTTAGCGCTCCGAGAAGCCCTGCAGTTGAGAAACCTCTCGTCTCTGATCCAGGGTTTCCGAAGCTTGTGTGATCACAAAACCCAACTCTTTCCTAATACCCATATCATCTCGAAGAAGGAAACATTGCTCTTTAGAGTTTTAAGGGGAAAATGCTCTGACTGCAGCACTCCACGTGCAGCTGGATCCCCCCGAAATCCCACTGCAAGATGTGTTGTGCTGGGATGTAGCTGAGGTACAGGGACAAGAGGAAGTACAGTGACAATAAAGACTTGGCCGACAAATCAGGAAGGAACCCAATTGTGGCCAGTTCTCTAAGTTAAATCTGACTCTGGAACGAGTCTTGGTAGTTGGGTTCTATTAAGCAGACTCCGAGGCTCCTTTCCCCGCCAGCTGCACGGAAGGTCACAGGCCTGCCCCACAAACTGGCAGAACACAGAGTCCCAGAGGGTAGGAGAGAAAGTGACCGGCCTCCAGGCTGCCGCCAGAAGGCAGTTCCTGAGCCCTGCCCAGGTGCACTTACCACACCGCGGGGACAGGAAGCCAAGAGAAGAACCCTGGCCCTGCTCACCCGGCTGCCAGTCAGGCAGCACACACACACACACACACACACACACACACACACAAAAAGCAAAGAAAAGAAACGAGGCAGGGTGGAACTTGCTTTCAGCTTCCGTGGCTCAGTAACCCCACCCACTGGTAAATGGGCCGACAGATGTCGTCTCTTATCAACAGAGAGAAGAGCTTCCCCTTCCTTTGGGGAAGAGTGAGAGCTGTGCCCTCCAGCAGCCCCGAGTAGAGCGAGCGGGACTCCCCTGTAGAGGGATCGAGGCAGTGACTGGAGGAGGAGGATTTGGGGGGACACAGGGACAGAGGGAACAGGCTGACATCACTCTGAGATCCTAACGAGCATCTAGGTGGCCGATGCCCTCATTCAGTAAGATGGACCATAAGAAAAGGAACAGATGCAGGCAGGAGAGGGTGAGGGGTGATGAGTTAGGTTTTAGGTGGAATTTGGGGTCTCCGGGGTACTCTTGGCGGGGAGCCCACTAGGCAGCTGCACATATGCACTTGGAGTTCACCAGAACTGTTGGGAGCCGGAGGGATGGGTTTGTGAGTTACTAGACTGTGGGGGTAGTGACAGCCAAGGCAAGGGTGGGGTTAGCCAAGGTGAGGACAGGGGTTCTCCCCCAGGGAGACAGGCACCGGCCCAGAGGCTCCTAGGAAGCGCTTCCCAGAGCCTCTGTGCCCAGCCTGCCCTGCTGCTTCTGAGTCCTCCTCCCTGTCCTGTCCCTCTGAGAGCAGGCTGAGGCTGTGCAGCCACAGGACCCCAGGGGACATCAGAGGGAAGGAAAGGAGGAGGAAGTGGCAAAGGGGCTGAAGGAGTGCGCAGAGGGATAAATAGAGGTCCACGACAGTGGGGGATGTTTTCTAAACTTTAATTTCTATTTCCATCCATTGCAGCTACCTCTTCTTTGTTTATCCTTTGCATTATCCCTCCTTTTGTGTTTCCTCCAACCCTCCTTTGTAATGTGGAAATACTCCTCTAGCCAAAGGCTTAACTAAGCTTAGCTAATGAAGGCAGTGACAGGAGGAGCTGGTGTGGTGTGTTGACAGCCCAGTGGCCTGTGCTTCCCTTCTGCCTGCGCAGGCCCCAGCAGGGGCCAGAAAGGTTTGTTGGATTAAATGGTAAATTCGGGTTTACAAATAAGGGCGTCTTCTCTGCCTGTCGGTTGTTCCCTAGGGCGTGTCAGCAGTATGGGGTAATTAAAGCCACCTGAATGAAGTTGTCTGAAATCTTCGAAAGAACAAATAAACCTTTTCTGGGTTTTCCTCGTGTTGCTTTTAACTGTAAACTTATAAGTGGTTCTTTTGGTGCCCAAAATTCTTGGGTTTTAAAATATCCATTAAGTTAGATGAGAGGGTAAGAATTAAGAGAGCTCAGAGGCCATATCTTTGACTTTTTTTTCTCGGCTTAATTATGCCAGACATTTGAGGAATTTGCTATATTTTCGTGTTGTTAATATCCGGAAGGTTAAGATGCTACCTTGTAACTCAGCATTGAAACAAGCGATGCTTGACCAGCGTCACTGTCGCACGGCTGCATTCTGCTGTCGCCAGTGCTGTGTGGTCGGACTTCGTGACTGTGAAGACGGCAGCGTGCTGAGAAAAACGGCAGACTTCTGCTTCGTGAAGTTGAGCTTTTCTAGACATAGATTCGTCAAGCCCCGCAGAAGAGAGAAAGGCAGAGCACCTCAGGCTGTGAGGCTCGCCGTCCCTTCCCTGATGGCTTTGCCGCTGGAACACTGCTGTGCCTCCTCCCTCACCGTCGTCTTCATCACCTCTTCCTCCTCCGTCTCCTCCCTCCTCCCGGGTCTGTTCTAGTCCGCACTTCACGTACTTTAAGCCCGATCGTTAATGCTGACGACACGGCTCCCTCTTGAAAATCTCTCTTTTATTGTACTGATTCAGGGTCAGAGCAAGAAATAAAACACGGAGACATGTGAAGGAAAACCGATCCGTAGGGGACGGCACTCGCAATCCGGATGCTCTCCTGATAACGGCGACGTTTCGTGCCCAGCCCAGGCCTCTCCATCAAGCCTCCCGTTTCCTCCTGAGCCCGCGCAGATAACACCGTCTTTTGCAGTCTCCGTCCTTCTTCCCAGGAGACTCCATGGTTTCCATTTTCGGGGGCACTTGGTGTGTGTTAGTCCACGGTTTGCCGAGAGGCAGCACCGCTCAGCGGGGGCTCCTGGCTTGGAGTCGGGCTGTGGGCTCCAGCCCTGCGCTGCCACGCCAGCTGCAGCAGATTTCTCAACTCTTTGGAACTGAGCCTCAGTTTCTTCAGCTGTAAAATGGGGGTAATGTCATCTGCCTCCCAGGATTGTTAAGATCAAATGAGACTGTGCACTCACTCAGCACGGGCCTGGCACATTAGTAGGAGCTTAGATATCCATTTTCGCATTTCTGCCTTTAGGTATCTTCGTTGTTATTTTGTCAACGGAAAAAAGCCAAACTCTGTAAAATAATTTTAAAGAGATTTATTCTGAGCCAAATTTGAGGACCATGACCCGGAGCCACTGCCAAGTGGACTCGATGTGACTGGGTTACAGTTTGGTTTTTATACATTTCAGAGACAGGGGTTACAGGCAAAGTCATAAAGCAATACGTGGGAGGCATACATTGGTTTGGCCCAAAAAGGTGGGCCATCTCGAAGGGGGGGTGGGGGATGGGGGGGCTTACAGGTTATATAGGTGGGTTTAAAGATTCTTTGGCTTATAATTGGTTAAATACATGAAGCTTTGTCTAAAGGTTTGGAATGTTTTAACATAAGGAGCTGTTCTCAGAGACAAGCCACCAGACAGAATTGGTGTGTAAATTGAGGCCCTGCAGGTGTGTCTTGCATACCCTTAGACCTGTTAATGGGTTACAAAGGAAGTCCCCAAGAAGGGAGGGGGCATGATGAGGACTGCCTGACCTCCCTTCTCCTGGCAGACAATTTAATTTTAAGATATTCCTTTGGCCACGAAGGGGTCCATTCAGTCAGCCAGTGGGGGTTGAGTCTTAAAATTATACTTTAGTTCACAATTTCTACCTTAAGAAATAAAGGCTTGGGATCAAAAGTACTATTGGTAACTGCCAAATTCATATTTCATCCGGTCAGTGATACAGGAGACAGAGAATGGGCGTGATTTGGTGGTGGGGGGTGAGAACGTGAGCCAGCCCAAGGAGCCCGAGCTCCTGTGGGAGGGGACAAGGGGAAGTGGCACCCGGAACTCAGGCAGCTGGAGTGAAGACGGGAGCAGAGGAGAGCACTGTGGCCAGATTGTGGAGCACCACGATTACCAAGCCAGTACAGTTTGGTTGTACCTTTTAGGCTGAGGAGAATCACTAAAGATTTTTTAGCAGGGGAATAATATGGTTATAGTCTTAAGAAGACTATTCTATGGATGCAGTTAACTAAATTAATGAAAATAGTGCACACCTATAGTCCCAGCTACTCGGGAGGCTGAGGCAGGAGGATTGCCTGAGCCCTGGAGTTGGAGGTTGCAGTGAGCTATGATCGCACCACTGTACTCCAGCCTGGGTGACAGAGCAAGACCCTGTCTTAAAAAAAAATTAATTAAAAAAAGAAAACGGCTATCCTGTGCCCAGTGTGTGCAGCACAGTGTCGCACTGGGTTCACCATGCATCCCGAACATGTTCTAAGGCATGCCGTGCCCAGGGAATGATACAGAATATGTAAGACAGCCCCTGACAACACCGGGACACTGGGAGGTTGACATTTCTCCACAAATCCAATGCAGTTCTTTTTGGGTTATATGTACCAGGAACTCGCCTTAACTTGAGAAAAGGAATCTATTGCCTTATGTCACTGGAAGCCCAAGGCTAGAACTAAGAGGTCATGCAGTAGCAGTGAGACTGTATCTCTGCGGTGCCACTCTGTGCTGACTCCCCCTGTGGACGGGCTTCCTCTGAGGGGAGACACCAGGCTCCTGCGGCCCGCAGGCTCACGGCCTCCGTCGGCCGCTCCTTTTGCTCCTCTCAAAAGGACTCTCCTTGGTCCTGCTTGCGTCATGATCCCATCCCCAAATAGCAGCTGTTTCCATGGGGATGAAGTACCTTGACTAGGATGCAGGGCCTGAGTCCCCCCATGAGACAGGGAGGAACGACAGCCTCACCAGGTCCGGAGTGGGAGTGGAGATGTTCTCGAAAACAAAAGATGCTGGGCAGGCACAAACAGTGGGAAACGTCCCACCTGAGTCATGCAGGGACCACGCTGGTCTCTGGAACAGACAGAGGAATAGACTGTCCTAGAGGGAGCTGATAAGAGAAAGCTGGAGGAAGAGCTGTCCGGCGGAGAGAGAAAGATAAGCGCCAAAGCCTCAGTTTAACTCTCTGTGAGTCCACCTGCTTAATTCTGCTTCAGCTTTGTTAATTCTTTTCCTTTATTAAAAATTCCACTTTGATGGTAGCACTTTCGGAGCCAATTACTCCTCGCAGCCGCTGGATGAGAGTTGGCCGAGGTAAGCCGTATTTTAAAAGAGATGATGGGCATGTGTTTTTTCCAATGGTTTCGCTTTATTTTACCCACCTTGATTGTTGTTTTAGAAATTTATGATATAAAGCATAGAATCTTGTTTTCTCGTATAAAACTTAAGTCTGAATTCAGCAAGGGGGGGGGTGTTACTTGAGGCCAGGAGTTCGAGGCTGCAGTGCGCTGCGATCACACCTGTGAATGGCCACTGCACTCCTGCCTGGACAGCATAGTGAGACCCCATCTCTGGGGGAAAAAAAAACAACAACTTAAGTCTTTCTATATAGAATTACACGCTTACATGAAAGTCTAAGATGAAAAATTATTTAAATATAGATCTTCATATTTAAAGCCAAATAGAAACAATTTTGTAATACATTTACCAACAGAATATTCTGGTTTGGTAGTCTTATGTTTGAGATGTGGAAGAATAAGTGCCTCTTCTCAGGGTGTCTTGGTAAGCTGCTGAAAGGAATGAAAGACTCCTGAGATGGTAATTTAGGGTCTCTTCGAGTATTTTTGTTCCCAATATAGAAGATGACGGGATATAAAATTAACTGAAAAAGACTGCTGCGTCCATTTGAGTTACCATTTTCAGACCACCAAGTCAGATTTGGGAGGCATTTGAAATGTACATATCAAAAATATTTCTCTCTCTGGGTTGAGATCTACTCTCCATCCACGGGGAATCTGACTGAGCGCCTGCTATGAGTAATACGGTCTAGATCTTGGGAAGGAGATAAGGATGGTAACAGCCGGCCTCTACCTCTAGTGGGTTTTCAACTACCCTTGAGAATCCAGGGACCCAAGGCTGTCGGATAAATACAGTCTCTTATTTTAAGTCAGAAAAAGGCATCTCCAAACCAATATTTTTCTTACATGTATCCAAGAAAAAAAATGTCTTATGCTTTCCCGAGCACTAGGATCAGTCAGATCAATATTTTCATAACCTGGGTAGCTGTAGCAAGTACAGCCCTCCTCACGGCCATCTGTACGGGAATGCAGAATGTTTGCACCCAGGATTGCCAAGCCCCCCAGCCCCGCCCATACACACACTCAGGGTACGCGATGAGGGGTGACTGTTTACACGTCTGGAGTAAGACCTTACAGCCCCTGCAGAGGAGTCGGTCATAGATTTGAACAGTTTCAAAAGGGATTCAAAGGGGCTTGTTTGCCCTTTCCTTGATTCCTTGACGCCTGCTAGTTAGTCTTGTTCTTATGAATCTGTGCTCGTCTTTATCCTGGAGATCAGAGGCACAACGAACAATTTAGCAATGCTGAGCACAGTGAGTGCCGAGTGGGCGTTTCCGGCCTCGCAGGTGGTGCAGGGCGGGGTAGAGGAGCAGGGTGGCGCTCCCCCCGGGCCTGAGGCTCTCCTTTGCTCCCTGAGAGTAAACTGCTTTTCCTTTTATGTCGTTCTGGTTCTCAAAGGCAGCATCCTCCTTGGAAAGAAGAAAAGCACCCCGGGTTCAGGCTGACGTCTGCACTTAACAGGTACACGGCTTGTTTCCTAGTAGAAGTAGATTTTAAGCGAGACCGAGTGGTTTGATTGTCCCGATACTCTTTACATGTTATCTGGCCGTTAGAGTGTGTTTGTGTCCGCTCTGTTTATATGAAGTGTTAAAAAAAACCAACCCTACCAGTTATTGAGTGTCTACAGGGGACAGTGCCGTACCTGAGGTCTGGAGTGGGACTACCAGGGTTTGCCTCTCACTGTGTGACCCTGAGCGGATCATTAGATCTGGATGCCTCAGTTTACTCATGTGAAAAATGGAAATAATTGTACCTATATCGTGGGATGCTTGTGAGGACTGAATAAGATAGTACATGGGAAACACAAGTGTTCAGCAAACATCAACTTTTGTTCTGATCACTTTGGGCCAGACTCCAGGAGAGAGAGTTCTGCCTAGGTTATTTTTTTTCAATCCTGACAACATCCTACAAGAATGAGTATTATTTTCTGTTCCAAGAGTTAGATGACTTGTCTAGGACCCCTTAGCTAATATGTGAAGGAACTGGATTTAAAAAACAACAAAAAACCTTTTTTATAAAAGTGGGAAACGTTAAACATACACAAAGGGAAGAGATGCAAGAGGCCCCCGTGCCCACCCTCAGCCTCAGTCCTCCCCAGCGCCCTGCCAGTCCTGATCTCCTCCAGCCCATCTCCCCTAGACCCATGACTGGCTGGATGCAGTATCTCATCTGTAAGTATCACTAACAGTATAAGGCTGGTGACCTTCTTACCTTTTAAAAAAACATAACCTTTGCACAGGTATCATTAGAAAAAGAAACATAACCACAATGCCATGATTACACTTAAAAATAGTTCCTTAATATGATTTAATACCCAGCCTATATTCAGATTTTCCCAGGTGTCTCTCTGCATTTGATTGGCGATCTCTTGAATCTCTCTGAATGGATAAAGGGTTGGAACCTGAACCCAGTTCTCTCTGATTCCAAAGGCCACGCTCCTCCTGTTGCGCCACTTAGATTCTTCCTTTGTCTGCCACGTCCCTCATCTGAAGCCAGGTGGCTTAATAGCCACTTGAGTCTCTCTCTTGTAATGGACAACAACATAGCATTCAGGGCTAATTTGAAATTGCTCATAAGTCCTTTTTTATGGCAGACAGTTTGACCCTCAAATGAGATAAATAAATAATCATCTCTTGGAGCCAAGGCTGTGTATAAATTGGAGCCATCTGGAAGAATTTCAGAAATTTGCAAGGGATCATAGGTTCCCGAACTTTTAAGACCACTTTACACTCTCAAAAAATCATTGAAGCCCTCAAAGAGTGTTTTTTATGCGAGTATCTACCAATATATATCTACTGATAATAGAAATTAAATTGAAAACATTTTAAAACATACTTAATGCATTTTAAAATGGCAATAATAAACAACATTTAACATAACTAATATCTTTTTAAAAAGAAACATATTTTCCAAAACAAAACAACTTACTGCAAACGGTGGCATTGCTGTACCTTTCACAAATCTCTTGACAGCAGCTGGGTCCTCCACTCCTGCGTCCAACCAGCCTTCACTTAGCCGCTGGGAAAGCCACTGCGCTGGGAGGGTGCAGGAGTGAAAGGGCAAAGGACGTTTTAGCAATATTTTAAAAGTAGTCTTGACCTTGCATACCCCATGAAAGGGTTTGAGAACCACTGCTCTAAGAATATCATTCTCAGATGAAGAGAACCTAGCGCAGCCACAGGTTATACTGGTCACAGCCGTCTTCTGACTTGCAAATAATAGTGAGGTCTCGGAGGGAAGCCGTGAGTCCGAGGCCTGCCTTCTGGAAACGGGTCACCTTGCCGCCAGCTCCAAAGTACAAGCCTATGGAGTACAGATGAAAGCCTTTCGGGGTGTGGGCAGTTCTCAGAGCCTGTTATTGATGTAGGGGACTTCAGGTAGGTCCAAACCCTTCGTTTTACGGGTGACTGTAAATCGATCATTCTTGCCTTCTGTCCTGTTGGAAATATTCGGCGAAGAATATTGCGTGTTCACTAAGGAAGAACGATGTTCAGCCAGACTCTCTCCTCCCCTCCTTAGGACCAATTCTGATTCTGCTCTTCACACGAGTGCTCTGAGCACCAAGCCCCAGGACCCCTATGGAGGAGGGGGCCCGTCGGCCTGGCCCGCCCCATACATGGGTAAGACACACAGGCCCCTGCTCACAGCGCCGGCTCTCCTTCTGTCCCGTAGGAGCTGAGGCAGGAAAGCCTGACCGGTGGGCACCTCCCCGCGGGCCGGTCCTCGGAGGAGAAGCTCCGGTGGGGGAAGCGCGAGTGTCAGGATGGGGTGCGGGGTGGCGCGGGCCTCGCCCTGTCGCCCCCATGGCACACTCTCCCTCGTTGGCATCTCTTGGCCCTCACGCTTCTTCCTGTCCCCCCCGCACTGGCCCTTCCCTGGGCGCTTGCCATCTTCCCCGTGGACTCTGACGGTGACTTCCTAACAGCCCTCCTGCTTTCCCAAGTCTCGTGTCCCTTCAGTCCGATTTTATGCCGGGCTTTCTGCGGGTCCTCTTTCCCCACCCAGGATCTGGACAGACTGAGAACTAAAGCCAGATGTTCAGATGGAGCTAAATGTCACCCTTACTGCAGATAAGACCAGGTTGAGGGAAGTGGCCTCTCTCTGTGGGCCCGTGGGCCTGTTACGACTGAACCCCAGAATGAGGCAGGCTCCCCGAGTGGCCAGCAGCACCGGCCAGGGTGGCCCCAGCCATGCAAGGCCAGGACGGGCAGAGCGGGACAGCCCAGCCGGCTGTGCTCCAAGGGAGGCACACCCTGGGAGGAGGGGAGGGAGCCGGCTGGAGCTGAACGTGGCCTGCTCGGCGTTCCGCTTCCACTGGTCAGGCCACCATTCTGCCTCCCTCGGGCCAGCGTGAGTACAAGGGCGGGAGAGGCCGCGAGTGACCAGGAAGGGGAAGAGGCATACTCACGCCACCTTGCACCATCCGCTCCCAGAGTGAGCCCCTGTCCCCCTTCCCAGCACTGACCAGACCCGGCCCTGCTTAGATCTGAGATCAGGTGCGCTCAGGTCGGCATGTCCGCAGACTGGACCCAGCTCTGGGGTCTTACTCTCCTGCTCACATCCCTCCATGCCACCTCCTCCCTCTAGAGGAAAGAGGCTAAATTGCCCGTTTTAGCGCAACACAAGCCCCGGATCCGGCCCCTGCCCACCTCTCTCCCTGCTCCCCTGCCTCATTCCCCAAGTCAGCGTGTAGACCGCGCTGAGTTCTCCTAGCGTTTCATCCTGTTCCCGTCACTTCCTCTCTTGGCTCCCGGCCTCCTCCCGGCCTCCTGGCCAATCCCCTCTGGAGCCGCAAGCCTCAGCGTGTGTACCCATGTTTGCGCAGCCATCCTTGACCTTTCTCCTCCTCAGCTCAGAATTACCCGTGTCCTCCTAACACTGCAAAGCTCCCACCTGCAGACAGCTGTGTTTGTGAGCACCTGCTTTTTACGTGGATGCGCTTTTCCTTCTTGCCCGAGTAGATTTCTTGAAGGCAGCACCCTAATGGTGTCATTCTCTCCGGCCCCCGCTCTGTGCCCGGTACATAGGAGCCCATATTGGTGGAGGGTGAAGAAATCACAGGGGCCCACACGTGCAGAGTGCTCGCCAAAACACACTCCGGGTGCTGGCGTCTAGTCTGCACGTGAAACGAGGTTGATCTTTCAGACGCATTCCAAACCTGCCTTTCTGGGGTTTATAATTTAGAAAGAACAATGGTCTTGAATTGTCCATTCCACCTGCAGTTTCACTCTTGTCCACAAGCAAGGGCTATGTTTGCTCTTGAAACGGGAATAAATTACATCTTTGGCCAAGTTACCAGCTTTTCTGATTTTCTTTACTTTTTGGATTATTTAAAGTCTAAATAGCCTCTGTTCCTTCCAAGGAGAACATTCATGGTCTTGTTTCCTTGCATATAGTGGGGATGGGATTTAATAATACTTGTGGCTGTGTTTGTTCCCATGGTACAAGTTAGAGGAGACTGCATTTGCCCACGTGATAGTTTGCTTGTGAAGTGCGAGGGCTTTCAGAGTTGGTCAGGGCCGTCTCCCTCGTTCCCACACATGGGGTACGGGAGTGGCGCTGGCAGCCATGCTGGAATTGGAGATGGCCCGCTGCGCGCTGCTTACAGGGGCAGAGTGTGTGGGGAGAGGGAGCAGTTCAGCTTCAGGATAGGTGGAGACGGGGTTATATAAACAAAGCCTTGGAAAAGCAGAGGCTGTGATGGGGCCGCAGCCTGTGAGCGCAGCGGGGCCATCGTCCCCCTTGGCGGGGAGGGGCCGCGCGGACAGAGCTTGACCCCCCAGCCCCTGCGCTTCTGCCTCTGCCGTTCCTTCGTGTCCACTGTGCTCTGTGCAAAGCTTCCACTTCTCTACGAAAGGGCCAAAGGCCCAGAGAGAACGAGGGGATCGTAGGTAATCTAAGTAAGGAGTTTTTGAGGCTCGCATGCAAAGAGAAAAAAAAAGTAGCTGAAGAAAGTGAGTACCTGAATTGAAGTTTTCATGCTAAGAGTGCTGTAGCCTCTGAGGGAAGAGGTGAGAAATGTCAAAAGGTACCAGGGTGAGCAAGAAAAACAAAAGAATTGTTCCAGGTTGGCAGAGCGGTAAGAAAAGCTAGAAAGAAAGACAGAAGTCCCGGAGCGCAAGGTTCCTGGATTGACTCGAGAAGCGCGGTGGTCTCTCCTCCAAATCTGCAGCTGGGCATCGCTGGGCCACAGTCTCTGCCACCCGGGGAAGGCGGCCGCCCTCCAGCCGGGCCGCTGAGCCCAGTGCCTGCTCCCGCCGCGGCCCCGCGAGTCGCGCAGAACTCAGAAACGCATCCTAATATGGATGTGTTTACATGGGAAAGCCAGTGTGTTTAAAATGGTATCCAAGTCTCCAAGGACGGGAATTATTTCTGGAGAATTATATTTGTTGGTGGGAGCTATTTTAAATAGCTTCGTGTATTTCCCCCCCCTGTAATTCATTAAAGTTTTTCAGTTTCTTTCCCTTTGGATTTTAAAAATGTCAGCTAGCTTTGCGAAAAGGTGTTTCTTATTATAGGACCAGCCAAATAAAGATTTAAAAAGTGATGGGAAAGTATAATTAAGGCCCAGAACTAGGTTCTCTAGTGGAGGCAATAACTGTTCTTTCCCTGGGAACCCTCCCTGAGCAGGGCGGTGCGGCCCCCCTGTTCGCCGTCGTTGTGAGCAGATGAGAAGGGCGCGTCTGCTGGTCGCTTAACTGCACAACCAGTGAACTGCGACACACTCCTAAACGGAGCTTTGTGTCCCAAGAACATACAGCCATTAGTCTGAAACATGCTTAGTAATCTTCATAATGGTTCTTGAGTCACACGACAATTAGGCATAAGTGTTGAGTAGTTGATATAAATGACAAAAACAAACTTTTATATAACCAAACAACATTTTTATAATTTCTCTCTCTTGTTTAATTACCCAGACTCTCTAAAGAGGAGTGTTGACCGTTTCCCTGGCAGCACGTGCAGTTTAATTATCACTTCACACATACATGCAGACAAGCACAAGGGCTCTCTGGGACATTCGCCCTGTCCCATAGCCTAGACCGTCCCCAACTCCCCTCCCCTCACCGCCAGCCTGCGGAGGCGGCGGCTGGGGTGGCCCGTGCTCTTGCAGGGAGCAGTCCAGAGCTGAGGGCAGTTACTACATTCCCATACCCAGGGCTGTAGAAGCTGAATGTCACCGTCTTTGGGGACTACGGTCCTCAGCTGCTCCTCTCAGAGCAGGGCAGCACGTATGTCTTGGACTTCAGTGGCATTTCCACCTGCAAAATAAGCTTTGACCTACAGAGTTAAGGAAAGGTTTAAAATGCAAGTAACCCCGGAAGATACAAGCCTGCTGATTGCGTGGACGGGGGTGAGGGGTGCAGGGAGCACAGCATCCAGGTCTACAGAAGGACAGAAAGGGTCCCCTGGATGGCAGGAGGGCCCAGAAGGGGGAGGCAGAAACACCAGAGGCTTCTCTTAGGATACGCTCTAAGTGTGCCCTTGTCTTCCCTTCTACTTAGCAAGTCCAGACCGTGCAGGGAGTTCTTTTAGCTTTGCCAGGCCTGGGAGCCGCGGAAGGAGCACGGCCTCAGTGCCACCCAGTTCAGAGAGGCCGGCCCCGGGTGGCTCTGGGGTTGGGAGGTTTCCTGGAACACAGATGCAGCCTTGGCCATCGCTGCCCCAGCCCCCGTGGGACCCATACAAATTGGTTTCCTCTGTTTCCAGAAGGCCAGCCACAACTCGTCCCTTTTTATTTTTAACCCTTCGTTGATGGCGGCATCCTGTGATATTTTTTATCCAGCAGTGAAAATCCAGGCTTGGATATTGATTCGATTGTACGTTAGCTTGGTGGTCAATGTTATCGCCGCCACCATCCTTCTGGTCACCCGAGCGCAAAACCCGGGAGTTATGTTTAGTCGCACCCGTGCCCCTCTCCTCCATTCAGCAGCCGAGCACCGCGTCTCACATCCGCCTCTGATCCCCTGTCCTCGCTGCCAGTGTCCGACTCTGTCCTTCTTGCCTGGACTGTCGTGTCAGTGTTCTGCTTGCTCTCCCTGCCACGAGGCTTTTCGACCCGTCTCATCCTCTGTCGCAAGAGCAGTCCCTCTGAAGCTTGGTTCGAATCAAGTCACCTCTCTCACCGGAACCTTCTGTCCCCAACATCGTGCCAGGCCACCGGTAGCCTCCGGCTGCCTCGCCTCGTCTCCCGCTCCTCCCATCCCGCGAAGCCGCAGCCGGGCAGGCGGTAGCATCCCTGCCCCTGCTGAACGCTTCTTCCCTCTGCTCCTCACTCCTTCCCTGCCCCTCTGCCGCCTCCTCCCCTCCTCCCCCTCCTCCTTCTCCCCCTGTCCTGCACTGGGGCATCCCCTTCAGCCTCACTTCCAGGTGTCTAGATCCTCCCAGGTACAGCCAGTTGCTCAGGGACATGGCCATTCTGCAGGCCCACGGCCAGAATTCGGGTCCCAGGACATACTCGCTGTCTGATCTTACAGATAGCAGCACCCGCCTCACAGCAGTACGGTGAGGGCTACGTGAGATCGTCGGTGTAAAGCACCCGGCACATAGGAAGCTAACAGTAACGTTGGCTGCTGTTATCATTTTACCATTACCCTTCAACGCCCAACTCAGGTGCCATCTCCTCCATGAAGCCTTCCTACCCTTCCAGTCTGATGGGGAGGAGGGAGTGGCACTAATGGGATATCATGTAGGGCATCTGCTGGCCACCTAGGTGGTTTCACATGATAGCCCCCAGTTGAGTCTTCATGTTCCAGGGACAGGTCAGCCGTAACAATTGCACCTAGAGTGACTGGGGTCTTCATGACGGACAGAGAGATGCTTTGCCATACCATACCAGACTGCTATATAGAACTTAGTTTTTAATTTTTAATAAGATAATCACTTTTTTTTTTGAGACAAAGTCTCACTTTGTTGCCCAGGCTATAGTGAGTGCCGTGGTGTCAGTCTAACTCACAGCAACCTCAAACTCCTGGGCTCAAGCGATCCTCTTGCCTCAGCCTCCGAGTAGCTGGACTACAGGCATGTGCCACCATGCCCGGCTAATTTTTTGTATGTATTTTTAGTTGGCCAATTAATTTCTTTCTATTTATAGTAGAGACGGGGTCTCGCTCTTGCTCAGGCTGGTTTCGAACTCCTGACCTTGAATAATCCGCCTGCCTCAGCCTCCCAGAGTGCTAGGATTATAGGCGTGAGCCACCGCGCCCGGCCAAGATAATCACTTTTTAGTGGTGAGAATAGTCAAGTTCCCTGCCTTTTCCCAATAGGATGGTCCCAGGAAAGCCACAGTGTAAATCGGAAGCTTCTTTCCTCTTCCTTGGACAGTGCTGGTTGCAGAACCCACCTTTTCTCTCCCTGCACCTTACTTTCTCATGTCCTCCTGTCCAGTCACTGAGAAAGCTGCAGCCTAATCCAGGTCTCCCCAAGAGTGGGCCAAGGACCATCTGCAATAGTCCCTTGAGATGAGGATTCAAAATGTAGATTCCTTGGTCAATTCTCACACCTTCTGAATCAAAATCTTTGATCATTGGCCCCCATAGTCTACGTCTTAACAAGCTCACCCAAGTAGTCTATATGTGCACTAAAGTTAAGTTTTCAATAACTAACTTAGATTCTGTATCCATGGGCTTGTGAGAAATGCTTTGGGACTGTGCCTAATTGAGTGACCTCTTGGTGCTCCTGGCTCCACTAAGATTTTGTTGCTCCTGTCATATTCTGTCTTCTCACCTGGCCCAGGCTAGCACTTAGTGCAGGATCTTAATAAATATATGTTTAATGAATGGTTATTAGACATTCTATTTAAATTTTATAGACTAATCAGGTTAACTTGTAGGTTCACCTTAGCCAGAAACTTATCTAAACTTTAAGCAAGCTATAGTTAAAGGCTTAGACCTTAAAAATTTGTCCGGATTCTATACTGAAAACTTATTTGTTATATTCGATTGCTCCAAAGGGAATGGTAAGATATTACATTCTTGGCACAGTTCTTTAGTTTTAGCCCAGAGCAATAATAGGAAACACTATACTTTGTCATCTGCAGTATAATTTATGGATAAAAAGTACTTCACTCAGCTAGAACTTATTCTAAGTCAAATTTTAAAAACTTTATGAATATACCCTTTAAATTGACTCAGACTCCAGATATATTTACTTCTTAAAATAACTTGACTGTGCAAGAAATATATATATATACATATATATATATGCATATATATGTGTGTGTGTGTGTGTATATATATAAAACAACATACAGCATGGAGCTTCTAGTTTGTTCCTGGAGACACCAATAGTAAGTGTCAAACAGGGATGTGTGGACTTCTGGAGTTCATGATGCAGCATTTGTAGGAGTGTTCCCATCTATACTTCTTTACTTTTGTGATTTGAACAGAGGTGCCCAGACTTTGTAAAAATTGTTTTTCTCTCAGGACAGAGATAGTAAGAAAATTTAAGACTGACACAAGGAGACAATTTTAGAGGAAAAGAAAAGTAGATAGGGACCAACTGTAGACTCAAATTAGCTACATCTATTTGTACTGTAAATGCTGGGGCACCTTGAATGAACATCATCGTATCAAAGCTGCCTTAGAATGTTCAAAATTCTATTTTAAGTCAGAAAGAGTTACTAATTCATGAATAAATGAAAACGAGAGCACGACGTAACAGTGTTTTTTCCTTTCCCACCAGGTTTCTGTGACGGTGAGAATGATGGACACGGGGAAGGTATGAATCGGCTTTACCTGCCTGTTTTGGAATGGGATGCTGACGACGGTGTACATCACCTTTCAATACCTTAACTAGTTAATATTCATGTTTCCAGGCACCCCCAAAATGCTGACAACTGCTGATTGGCTTACTCTTTAGAGAGCCTCTAGAAATTGGAGGCTAGCCATGATCAAGGCCATGAGAAAGGAAATGTGTGATCACATTACAAAGGTTCCTTGTTATCCAAGTCCCCACAAGCCCCATGGTCACAAGGCTGTTCAAGGAAGCAAACGTTGTAACCACATGAAAATGTGAATGAATCGATCGTTTAAGCAATTAGTTATTCCAATATCCTTCCCTCCTCAACACTGTGTCTGCCCATTTAGAAAGTCCTTGTTAGTCAGTAATTGTCAGACATAAACAATGCAAGGAGAATGCAAATTGTTGCAAAATGAAATTGCACATCTTGCAGAAGATGCTGTTTCGTGAAGCCAATTAAGATCGTATTGCAGTTCTGTGGAAATGACAAAGCCATTGACAAATGAGGGTCTAACACAGTTCATTTTATTCATTCAGTACCAGGCACTGTTTTCTTTTCTCTAAATATTTATATGTCTGGAATTTAATTTTCAAAATCCGAAAATGAACAACTAAATTAGGTTTATAAGTCACAAAGATAAGACTCACGGGGGATACGACAAACGAGGAGCATCTGGCAACAGAAGCACAATTCTCTGTTGTCATCCTGCACACTCCTTTTCTGGGCAAGCCATGATAGGCCATGGATAAAATCATGAAAAGTTAAAACATCAAGAAACATCTACTCCATTAGAACAGAAATAAAGAAGTGGCTTCGAGGTTGTTTGCATTCCCCAATGAATGCTTTGAAGAATTCCCAACAAATCTTGGATATGAAAAGAGACTGAAAACAACGGAAAACTGTCCGCATTCAGGCACTGGAGTCTGCCCCGCCCATATTCCCCTCATCAGCCTCTGTTGACAGGCAGCCTGGGGTTGTGAAGCCACCTTACCCAGCCCTTGAAACTTACCCTGGCATCCAGCAGCACCTTTCAGAGCAATTTTTCATTCTTGATGTCCCATTTGTACTAGTTTATAAAGGCTCTCAGAGCCTGTTTTTTCTTGTCCTCCGTTTCTTTGACAGTCAGCTGTAGGGTCAGCATTTACCAGGCACTATTTCAAGCACTCCCCAGCAGAGAATCGAACAAAGCCTCTGCCCTCGTGGAGCTTACATTTCTGAGGCAGTTTATATCAGTGATTAGACAGGGTAACATTTGAAGAAAAGAAAGTCTATGAGAATATTGACAAAATAAGCTCTTCAAAAAAGTGGTTTGAATATCAGGATTAAGAGAGACACCCGATCCACAGACATGCCATTAGCAAATGAAAAACATAGAAAAAATTTTAAAAATTGAAAGAAAAATTAAAAAAAAAAAAAGAGAGAGAGAGAGAGAGACCCGGGAGCACTGATAAAGCCTGGACTCTGTTAGCAGAAATGACCGCCATCACGATGGTGCTGGCCAGGGCAACTGTGAAGAGCGTTGTATCATGCATGCTCCTGCCACGCCGTTGGAGAGATCAACCCCCATCCATATTTGACCCATTTTAGGAGTCCACGTTGCAGTTATATCCTAAGTTATTTTTTCAAAAGATTAAGGGGTACACATGTTTTTGTTACATGGATACCTTTTCTAATGCTTAAGTTGGGGTTTTTATAATAGTATTCCCATCACTCAAATAGTGCACCCAATAAGTAAGTTTTTTACCCCTCCTCTTTCTCCCCTCCCTTCTTCTTGATTTCCAGTGACCTTTACATCTCTTTGTGCCTGTGTGTGCCCATCAATTAGCTCCCAGTTACTAGAGAGCACATGTGGTGTTTATTCTTCCATTCCTGGGATACTTCACTTAGGATAATGGTCTCCAGTTCCATCCAAGTTGCTGCAAAAGACCTTATTTCATTCCGTTCTATGGCTGAGTAGTACTCCATGGTATATGTATACCACATTTTCATAATCCACTCATGAATCGATGGGCACTTGGGTTGATTCCACGTCTTTGCAATTGTGCATTGTGCTGCAATAAACATTCAAATGCACGTGTCTTTTTGATAAAATGACTTACTTGCCTTTGGGTAGGTAGCCCATAGTAGAGTTGCTGGGTAAAACACTAAGTCTACATTTATTTATTTGAGGAATCTCCATACTGTTGTCCATAAAGGTTGTACTAATTTGCAGTCCTGCCAACAGTGTATAAGTGTTCTTTTCTCTCTGCATCCATGCAATCATCTGTTGTTTTCTGACTTTGTAATCACGGCCATCCTGACAGGATTAAGGTGGTATCTCATTGTAGTTTCGCATTTTCGTGATGATTAGGGATGTTGAGCATTTTTTCATGTTTCTTGGCCATTTGTCTTATCTTCTTTTGAAAAACTTCTGTTCATGTCTTTTGCCCTCTTTAAATGGGGTGATTTGGTTTTTTCTTGCTGATTTGTTTGAGTTCTTTGGAGAGTCTAGATATTAACCGCTTATTGGATATACAGTTTGTGAATATTTTCTCTCATTCTGTACGTTGTCTATTTACTCTGTTGATATTTCCTTTGCTGTGCAGAAGGTTTTTAATTTAATCAAGTTCTATTTATTTATTTTTGTCGTTTCTGTATTTGTCTTTGGGATCTTAGTGATAAATTATTTGCCTAGGATGATGTCTAGAAGGGTCTTTCTTATGTTTTCTTCTAGAATTTTTATTTTCATACCTTACATTTAAGTCTTTTATCCATCTTAAATTAATTTGTGTATATGGCAAGAGATCAGAGTCCTGTTTCTTTCTTCTGCATGTGGCTATCCAGTTTTCCCAGCACCATTTATTAAATAGGGCTTCCTTTCCCCTGAGTATGTTGTTGTTTGCTTTGTCAAAGATCAGTTGGTTGTAGATAGATGGTTTTATTTCTGGGTTTTCTATTTTGTTCCATTGGTCTATGTTCTACTTTTATACCGTACCATGCTATATTGGTTACTATAGCCTTGAATATAATTTCAAGTCTGGTAATGTGATACCTACAGATTTGTTCTTTTTACTTAAGATTTGCTTTGGCTGTTTGCACTATTTTTTGGTTCCAAATGAAGCATAGAATTGTTTTTTCCAGATCTGTGAAATGTGACATTGGTATTTTAATGGGGATTGTGTTGAATCTGTAAATCACTTTGGGCAGTATGGACATTTTAACAGTGGTGATTCTATTAATACAATCCATGAGCTTGAGATGTTTTTCCATTTGTGTCATCTATGATTTCTTTCATCAGTGTTTTATAGTTCTTGTAGAGGTCTTTAACCTCCTTGGTTTATATCTTAAGTTTTATTAAGTAGAAGATAAAATAAACTGATTTTAGACGTTTTGTTTCAAACTCCTTTCTCAGAATTTACTCTGAAATTTGGGGCCCTGTTTTAAGTGACTTCTTTCTGGGGTCCATTATCCTTTGGTCCCCGTGCCATTCTGGGTGGGGCTAAGACAGGACAGTCATGACAGTCACAGTGGAGCTCATGTGGTCACTGGAACCCAACAGCGTTCCTAGTTCTGGTAGTCACCAGTGTCTGTAATGTTGAACCCCCTTCCTGACTTCGGATCGCTTCATTCCTGTTGGCTGGCCCTTGCTTTCACTTGTTTTGTGACTCAGCATTCTTGTTCTACCTGGTATGACTGAGAGTGCTCAAGCAGAAAACCCTTGAACAGTCCCTTCATACAAAGCCAGGTTGTTTTCCGGCATTCAAGAGCCAGTAGGAGTCCCGGTCGGCTGCCTGGCCTCACTTCCTCTGGGCCATCGATTCCTCTTTGTCCCCTACTCCCCGCTCATCACTGAGTAGCTTCACTGCCACCTTGTCTTCCGTGTGCTAGCCCTCTTCTCCCTTCCTTACTTCCCTTATTTCATCTTCCCGACATCATTTTGGCCCTCTCTGCTCACCCCTCCTCTCCCATTCTCTCCCGTGCCAAGCTCGCAGCCCTCCCTGACCTGGCCTCCACCTCCCGCGTTGTACCTCCTCCACCCCTCCCCTTTGCTCAGCCTGCACCCCAGTTGAAAAGAGTTGCTCTACTCCGTAGTTGTCCGCCACTTCCTTTCTCTCTGGGCCTTTTTTCGTACCTTCCCCTCTGTCGGAACGCCCTTCTCCTGTGTCCCTAGAGCGCTTCTTTCAGGGCCAGCCCAGAGCCTTCCTGCTGCCTCCTGTGGGCATCCGCAGTTCCATTCCTTCGGCTCTCTTGGGCTCCCGCTGGTTTCGCCCTTCAGCAGTGGCTATTCCCGTGTTGCTCTCATCCCCGGCTAGACTGTCAATTCCTCAAAGCTTGAACCCATGTCTCACTTATCTCTGCATCCCCTAGAGTCATGTGCAAATTGCCCTCCCTAGGAGACAGTCCATAAATAAATCATTTTATTTGTTAAATAAATCTTTTTTTTTTTTTTTTACAAAGATAGGTTGTTTGGCCAAAGGTTGGTGGGATGGCTGCCTTATAACACAATGAATGTGCTGCCTTTTTTTTTTCTCCCTTTAGTAGCGTCTTTCCCTGGCCCGTTGAAAGAAGAGAATCTGTTAAGTGTTCCAAAGCCACTGCCAAAACAGCTGTGGGAGACCAAGGAGGTGGGTGAACAGCACTCAACTGTTTATTGTCGCTGAATGTTTGCACTTCAGAGGTCCCTGAAAAATCTTGCAGAGGTGAAAACAAGAGGAATTGGGGGGGGGGGAGAAGAAAATTTGGGCACAGAGATAGAAAGAAAATACTAGGAAATGATGTTTCAAGTAAAAATTATTGCAGTTGTGCCGATGAAACCTTACAGTGATCTCTTGACTTCCTAATTCTCATATGAATTCACTCATTCAAAAAACCCGTTAAGCCCCCCATATCTTGTTCATACTGCCAAAAGCTCTAAAACCTGATTACGAGTCATGAGCAGATTTTTCTGTTTTGTAGCCAACACTTTTCTGCCAGCCTCCAGCTTCTGTTCAGAATTACTGATATACCAGATAACCCTTTTAAAATCAAGGGCATTTGATCTGAGTCCTCCAAGAATCAGTAAACAGTCATCTGTTTAACTGCGATTTCTGTGAGCCTTTGAGTATTTGTATCAAGACTCGTGCCAGCTGACTCCCCCAGGCTCTCTGTACATCTCCCCCACGTGGAAGGGAGGGAGGTCTCAGGGTACTTGACGTGGCCTTTCTTCCCGTAGGGAAGCTATGTCGACTTTGAGAGAAAACAGTTATTCTGTTCCAGCTCTTAATGATGGGCTTACCAGCCCTTACCAGCCTGGCAACATACCAAGACCCTATCTCTAAAAGAGTGAAAAAAAAAAAAAATGGCCGGCACAGTGGCTCACGCCTGTCATCCTAGCACTTTGAGAGGCTGAGGTGAGAGGATTGCTTGAGCTCAGGAGTTTGAGACCAGCCTGAGCAAGAGCGAGACCCCGTCTCTACCAAAAACAGAAACAAATTAATTGGCCAACTAAAAATATATAGAAAAAATTAGCCGGGCTGGTGGTCATGCCTGTAGTCCAGCTACGCGGGAGGCTGAGGCAGCAGGATCGTTGAGCCCGGAGTTTGAGGTTGCTGTGAGCTAGGCTGACGCCACGGCACTCACTCTAGCCTGGGCAACAGGTAGAAACTCTGTCTCAAAAATAATAAATAATAAATAAAATAAATAAAAAATGAAAAACTCGAATTTGGCGTTACGTGAGTAAGCCCGGCTTCTGTTGTCTCTTCCCAGATCCAGTCCCTGTCCGGGCGCCCTCGATCCTGCGATGTCGGAGGTGGCAAGTGAGTAACGTCCTTTCTGTCCGCGGTTCAGGGACCGTCCTGAGGTCTTCCCAAACATCTTCCCGCATTGTCACAGAACCCTGAAAAACGTAACTTGCTATGTATAAATTGAAAGTCAACTGCATTTTCATAAAAACTGCTCCCTTTTGATACTCACATTTCACGGTTTGGGTAATTAAGTTATAGAACCGCAATAACAAATAAACTGATGTAAATATGACTGGCCGGGCAGAGGCAGGCGTGTGCGGGCGTCGGGAGGAGCCCCGGCCCGAGCCCGCGGCAGACCTGGCCAGCGCGTGGCAGGTTGGCCGGACACAAAGCAAAGCATCAGTTAACCTGGAAACTGGCTTACACAGAAGTTCGTTAAGAGAGTTTCTATAAATATACTTAATGTCACTGAACTGTGCACTTAAAAATGGTACAGTGATAAAGTTTACGCGTGTGATATTTTGCCACCATTTTTAAAAAACATACAAATGGAAGATGAATAAATAAGAAAATTCACAATATCAAAAGTTTCTATAAGGCCAGGCGTGGTGGCTCACGCCTGTAATCCTAGCACTCTGGGAGGCTGAGGCGGCCGGATTGCTCAAGGTCAGGAGTTCGAAACCAGTCTGAGCAGAAGCGAGACCCTGTCTCTACTATAAAAGAAGAAATTAATTGGCACTATATTATATATAAATTAGCCGGGCATGGTGACCATGCCTGTAGTCCAGCTACTCGGGAGGGCTGAGGCAGGAGGATCGCTTGAGCCCAGGAGTTTGAGGTTGCTGTGAGCTAGGCTGACACCACGGCATGCACTCTAGCCTGGGCAACAAAGCAAGACTGTCTTAAAAAAAAAAAAAAAAAAAGTTTCTGTGAAACTGTTAATTAGTTAGTGGATTTAATAGTATACAACTTTACTCCCTAAAAAGATTTGAGACAGCTTACAAAAGTATGTACAATATATAAAACGGTAAAAAAAGTTTATGAGGAAGTTGAGTCTGGGGAGGAGGAGGAGATGGCAGGTGATGAAGGCCCAGGCAGCAGGTGGTTCACAAACAGCGGCCGAGGGGCGCTGGGACTGGCTGGAAGAGCTGTGTGCCGCGGGTCACCACAGGGAGGACCCCCAGACTTGACGGGCAGCGTCCCGAGACCGCACCCGGAGAGCCACGTGGCGCTGTTTATCACAGCGTCTCCGCGCGGTCCCGTGGCGTGGAACCAGAGCAATTCAGAAACCGCAGAGTCTGCCCAAGGCCAAAATAATGTGGCTTGAAAATGGGACCCTTGAATGGGCACCCATCATTGTAGAGGGTCTGCGGGTGAACTAAAGCTACTTCTCGCAGTCCCTCAACGTCTTCCCCCAACAAAGCTTCCTGTGAGCATTTCACAGCGATGCGTTCAGGCACTCCCTGCCGGGTACCTGGAGCTCAGACCTGCTTTTTGGGTGGTTAAATATAAACTCATGTAATTAGCAGCCTGCTGGGCTGAGGCTTGACCTTCTCTTCAGAAAGTCGGAAAGCCTGCCGGGACCCAGGGCCAGACAGAAGGCCCCCACCCAGGGGTGCAAGACATGCGAATGGACAGGGTCAGGATTTTCCTCAAGAACCAATTTTGGCTCAACCCTCAGAAAACCTTAGGGCTCTAAGGCCTGTGTTATAGACATGGGTTGCAGTGCCTTAACCCCAGAGAGTTTGGAAGCTATGTTTCTTAGGTAAAGAAAGTTGCTTTCTTGCTCTTATGTGAGAGGTAGAATTCCACTCGGTGACTCCTAGTCATGCAAATATTAATGGACCCCCTAATTGTAGGCACCAGGTAGAACAGCGAACAAAACAGATCAAGTCTCTGCTTTCAAGCAGTTGATGCTCTGGTGGAGCAAAATGGGCGAAGCCAAACAAGCAGAGCACTGTGCTGTGTGCCAGGTGTTGGCAAATGCAGTAACGAAAAAGAGAGCCGAGCAAGGAGGCGGGCGCTGTGGGTGCCGGGAAGGCCTTTCTGATGAGCGCTGAAGCGGGGGGCAGGGGTTCCAGCGCGGGAACGGCAGGCGCCAGACCCGGAGGAGGAGCGGGCCTGGGGCGCGGGAGGCTGGGCTAGCTTGGACCTGACTCGGAGATCGGGGTCACAGGAGGGTTGGAACACAGGGGGAACATCACCGGCCTCGTCTCAGGTCCAGTGCCGGCTCCGGTGGGTCGCAGCCGTATTTGGAAGGTGACCGCTCACTGCAGGGCAGCTGGTGTGGATGTTGCTGTTCACAGCGGTCACGTCACCTTGCCATTCTTGCTCTGTGCGCTGGGCGCCGCTCACCTCCTTCCCCCCGCCCCCACCGCCGTCCACTGCTTATCTTTCCCTCTCGTTTCCAGAATTCTCAGCCACGCTCTTTGAAAGCGCGTTTACTCAGGTCCTCCTTACCGCCTGCCCACTCCGTGGCCCTGTGTGGCCTGGCGTCTACCTCCGTGTCCCAGGGAGCTGCCCTGAGGGGTCAGTTACCTTCTCCACGTCACAGAGAGGCATCCCTGCTGCGTGTCCTTTACGTGACAGAAACTCACAGCGTCTGAAGCAGAGTTCATCGTCTCACCCACACCCCTGCCCTCGTTCCCCGTCTGCTCCTGTGCCTTCCGCGTTTCCCGTCTTAGGGTGGCCCCGCCTGTCCCTGCGCCAGGAGCCCAGGAGCCATCCCTGAGTCCTCCCTTCCGTATCCCCAGAGTCCACGCCGCCTCCCTCCGCTCTCTCCTGGTCTCCCGTTGGACTGTTCAGCGCATCAAGTTCACCCCTCTGCCTCCAGGCTCCGCTCCGTGCTCCCCGCGTTTCTTCCCCTGAGGGTGTCACCACGCTGTCCATCTTCCCTGCTCTCCGAGTCGGCTGGCTCGTCGTCATGAGCTCGCCAGTTCCGGCCCATCTCCCGTCCCTGCCCAGCCCTCCTGCACTTGACCTCCTGCGGCACACGAGTCCTGGCGGTTCCTGGGGCCCGCTGTGTGGTCCCGTGCCGCCCTGCTTCTGCCCGTGCCGTGACGTCCGTCTGCTTGAAATGCTCTCCCTGCCCGGATCACCCGAAGTCGTTATTAACCTTCAGACTCCGCTCAGATGTCCTCCAGGAAGCTCTTCCGTCTGCTGGTCATTCCCTCCGCACTGTGCACCCTACGCCCTGTCCCTGCGCTGCCGAACTGTATCATACTGCAAGTTGTCTCCTGCTTTGTCTGAGTCTCTTGGAGGCGCCAGTGCCAGGGGCTGGCCCCAGGAGGTGCTCTACTGTCACGTGCTGTATTGAGTGACCTGTCCTTAATCAAGTTCAATACCACCCCCTGCTCCTGACTGGTGGCACCTTCTCTAACTATTCTCCTCTCCTCCACCTCCCTGTTCTTTTCCCAGCCCACCCCTGGACCACTGCAGGTGGCCCTTCTCGTGGCTCCTCCCTGCCCCTCTCTCTGCTCCCTTACGCCATCCTCCGCACGGTAACCATTCTAGAGTGGCATTTCTAGAGTGGCATTCTCTAGCTTAACCTGGGCCCCCTCTTTCCTGCAGGCCCTGATCCAGACTCCTAAGCACAGTACGTCACCTCTCTCTTGTCTTCTCACTTGCCCGCCTCTCCCACTTCATCTGCTCTCCTCCCGTCCGTCCCCACACTCTGCCCTGACCCCTCGCCATGCCAAGCCTCTTGCAGTTCCACGAGCACACTGTGTCACGTCCTTAGCAAAGCCTTCCCCTCCGCCACCTATCCTGACGTCGACAACTCCTGCTTTTGTGCCCCCTGTGTCATTTGTACCTCTGGTTATACCCGCCCTCACCGGAGCTGGCACCGCACGCTTCCTGCCGTCCCTTGGTGGCTTGCCTTCCTGTCTGTCCCCCTCCCAGCTGAGAACTCCACGAACAGGGTCCTGGGCTAGGAGTCCCTCTCCGGACCCTCCCTTTGGAGGGCTTCACTCCCACAGAGTCAGGAGTCTAAGGGACCATGGGGACGTTCCACCAGCGTACACCCCTTAGGCCTGAGGGGTGGCGGGCGAGCAGGCGGGGAGAGGACAGGCTGGGGTAGCCACGTGGGCGCACTGTGGTGCGTGGCAGGGCTGCGGGGGGCCGCGGTGGGCACCGAGGACTGGCCGCCTCTCCCCGCGTGTTCCAGTGCAGAACTCCACGAAGGCTGAGAATTCTACATTTAAGTCTGGCCGCACAGGCTGTTATGAAGGTATAACTTGTCAAGACGGAAACATAGAACAAAGTTCATTTAAGGGTTTGTTCATTCGATTTGTAACTTTCAGAAATTGAAACAGATGGTACGCAGGCCTCCTTTTGTGCTCTTGCCCCAGGCCTGCAAATTTTCGGCACAGGCCTGACCACAGACACACCTCGCTTGTCATCGGTGTGTCCCCAGCACGTAGCCCAGCGCCTGGCAGACAGTGGCAGCCAACAGACTTTGATAGATGAATGGCAACATCTCTTTCTCCCTTTAAAGTTTATGAAGCCTGTAATATAAAACATACATATTAGAAGGTAGCTAGTTACCCAGAGATACTTTTTCTGGTAGGAAAGATAATTTAGAAATCTAGCCAAAAGAGCTGTATACATATAAAGCAGTGCCTCACATTTTATAAAATATAAATAAAATTGTAAATCACTTCAGTAAAAGGATTTGTTCTATAAAATTTGGATCCAGCCAAAAGGCTGTACTCAAGGATTCAGAAGGCCACATGTGGCCCCAAGGCCACAGGTTCTCTACCCCTCAAGGATCCGTGCTCCCAGAATGAGAGAAAGTCTACACTAGGACTTTGATCTTTGATATCCACTGCTCTTATTTGACAAGGAAAAGATATCAGACATGCCCTGTTGCCCAACAGCCAAATGCATTGTAGACAGTAATACAAGGCTGGGTGCTGTGGCTCAGGCCTGTAATCCCAACACTTTGGGAGGCTGAGGCGGGAGGATCACTTGAGGCCAGGAGTTTAAGACCAGCGTAGGCAACATAGTGAGACCCCCATCTCTACAAAAAAATTCTTGTAAAAAATTATACCTTTAAAAAAAAAAAAGAGGCCAGTTGTAGTGGCTCACACCTGTAATCCTGGCAGTCTGGGAGGCTGAGGCGGGAGGATTGCTTGAGCTCAGGAATTCGAGACCCGCCTGAGCAAAAGTGAGACCCCCATCTCTACTAACGATAGAAAAATCAGCCAGATGTAGTGGCGCACACCTGTAGTCCCAGCTTCTCAGGAGGCTGAGGCAGGAGGATCGCTTGAGCTCAGGAGTTTGAGCTACGATGACACCACTGCACTCTAGCTAGGGCGACAGAGTAAGACTCTATCTTAAAAAAAAAAAAAAAAGTAATATGTATCATTCTTTTTTCAGTGCTTTTCCACACAATGGTCAAAACATAGGCCTCTCGCCCTTTCTGGGGACCCTGAACACTGGAGGGTCATTGCCAGATCTAACCAACCTCCACTACTCGGCGCCCCTGCCGGCCTCCCTGGACGCCAGTGACCACGGCTTCGGCAGCATGAGCGTGGGGAACAGCGTGCGCAACCTCCCGGCTGCTATGACCCACCTGGGGATAAGAAGCTCCCCTGGTAAGTATCTCCCGTTTAGGAAGGGCCTTGGCTGTGTCTCCTGGTGGCTTAATCATAGGTGGTCCCCAGCCATGTGGCCTGGTCAGTGAGTCACTGAATGACAGTGACTGGATCTCAGGGACAACAGTGGCCTTCCTGTGTCTGCTGACCCTGCCGACAGTGCGCTTTGCTGGTTCTGTTTCTGATGGGCGTGACGAGTTCGGGGCAGCTCTGCTGAACCTCATGCTTTATTGTCTCCACCAGCCCATGTACCCAGGGGGCTTGGGGGATAAGGTTTGGGAGTCAAGAAATACACATCCATTCTATGTTGGCTGACCAGTGTCAGCGGCTCTTATATGATAATATTTTATAATTTAAGCCATCTCTCTAGATTCTTCCAATTTTTCACTCGATTTTAAAAGAGTATTTTGAATTTTAGAAAATTTGTAGTGGATATGATGAAACTAAGCCTGGTATTGGTATATTTCAATGCTTCAATCAATTGAAGAATTGATTTCAGAGACCACCTCTATTTTTGTTTTTTTGGTCTTGGGGGTCATGTTTATTATTTTCAATAGTAGCAAATCTTTCATCCACTGAAATTGGGTTTTGACATTGAGAAATCAAGTCATACATGGGAAGATTCAATGTAAAAAGTGAGTGACCAAGCCACAGTTCCAAGTCATTGACTCGGATTTTCAGAAGTGCTTGAGTATGTGGCATCAGCTGTATTTAAAAAATGCTGCCCATAATGTGGCTTGGGTGTCACTGTGCAGCTTTGATTGTCCGCACCTCAGACCCAGTGTTGCAACGTGACTGTTTGCTTGAACCCTGAAAGATGCCCTCGTCTGTGACCAGGCAGGTGCCGTGCCCGTAGTCACGGTGGTGCGGCGCAGGCCCTGGCCGTGAGGGTGCTGCCGCGGAAGGTGCCACCTGGAAGGGAACCTCAGCAATGGTGTCCAGGTGGAGGCAGTGTTTGCTGGTCTCCACTCTGGGTCCAGTGAGCTTGTTTATTCAGATCAGAACTCACCACCTAAGTGAGAGTGGTCACCCGAAAGGTCCCTAATGATCGCAGTGACGCCGCCATTGTGCAACATAATTTTAGGTTTGAATGATTGTTTCCAGAAACCAAGTTTATTTTAGGTTTTGGGTTTTTTATTTTATTTTATTATCCTTAATAGCAGCAAGTCTTTCATCCACTGAGTCTGGGGTTTTGATATTTAGGAATCAAGTCGTGTATGGGAAGAGCTAATGTAAACAGTGGGCGAGCAAGCCATGCACGCGGTGCTGTCCGGGATCCAGCGTGCTGCAGCGTGTTCCGTGGGATCCAGGGTGTTCTTTCTGGGGAAAGCGCTGGTCTCTGAGTGCTGAGTTTGCTTGATTTGCTTCATAGTGGAAACTCTCAAAACCTTTAGGCTTTTTTATATTCAAAGTCTGAGCGATTTACCTTTGAGGTGAGTTCTCAAAGAACAAGGAGTCCAAGGTCACAGAAACAAAGAAGCGTCAGTGGAGAAGGGTCTCCGGGAAGCTGGCCTTTCCCAGGACAGCCTTTGACACTTTGCTCCAAGCTGAAAAGTTCACGTTCAGTCACTGGCTAGATTCCTCAAAATAGCGTCATTTTGTCCCAAACACGTCAGAACCAGTGTCAAGTTTTTATAGTTTCTGCGTGCTCCTTAACATGTGTGGTACACATATATGTAAAAGATGTTTAAGCTTTCTTTCTGAGTTTTTTAAAGATCTAAACTCAGATATGTAGCTCTGATTACTATTTGAGCCAACCGAGTCTCTGACCTTTTTGTAGATTGTCGTATGGTGGCATAATGACGTAGGGTTTTATCATAGATCACTTCCTACCTTCTAAAACTACTGTTGCCAGCTTAAAATTCTTGGTTTCGTCATTTCTTCATTTCTACAACTTTTAACAAACAATTTTTATCAACACAAAACAACACACAGTCCTGCTCACCCCGGCGGCGGGTACAGGAGGGTGGGGCCTTTCAAACACGGCGCCGCGTTCAGACGCACCCGGCGGCGGCAGCACGGGAGGGATTCACTGAGCGAAGCTGGCCCTGTCAGCTGCTAAGGATCAGCAGCACAGGGTCCCCAGCCTCACGGAGCTTGCGGCCTAGCGCCCTGCGCCGTCAAAATGCCGTTCCCACACTTCCTTGCTCACGATGACATTCACCCCTCCCCTCCCCCAATAAACAGAGCACCAGCAAAAACCTCCTTTGCCCTGAGTTGGATTGGACTGGGATGAACACTTTCCTGAGAGTCAGAAAAAGAGGGGGGGCCCTGGGGTGGGAGGCGAGGGCGTATCCCTTCCTGGGACTCCCTAGCGAACCGAGGGCCACGGCAGCTCTCAGGGAGAGGATGTCCTCCAAAGGCAGCAGGGGCCCAGGCAGCAGGCTTGGGACCGAGGCGTGTTCGCTCTGAACGGAGTGTGTCGGGCAGCCCTGGGGTCCTTTCCCTGGGTCGGCGCTGAGCACACTGAACGTGGGCCTCCCCCCACCTAGTCTTGCCCGCCCCGCGGTTGCCACGTGCTCGCGTGGCTCTTGGGGAAGACGCACTCTCCTCCCGCTGGCGCCGTGTCTGTTGGCGTGGGTGCCTGTCCCCCTGCCGCCGGCATGGCGGGTGAGACTTCTGAATCGTTGGCACACGTGATAGTAGGAAGTCGTCTTTAATTTTTGGAAAACGAAAGACTGGGTCTGAAATTATAACAAGTAACTCGTGAACCTGTTGTCTTCCAGGCCTGCAGAGTTCTCGGAGCAACCCCTCCATCCAGGCCACGCTCAACAAAACGGCGCTGTCCTCCTCCCTGAACAGCCACCCGCAGATGTCCGCGGCCGGCGCGGCCGCCCTGCACCCCTCGCTCCGCCTGTTCTCCCTGAGCAACCCCTCTCTGTCCACCGCCAGCCTGAGCGGCGCCCCGCGGCGCAGGCAGCCCCCCGTCAGCCCCCTCACGCTCTCCCCCGGCCCCGAGGCCCAGCAAGGCTTCGGCAGACAGCTGTCTGCGAGCAGCCCGATGAACCCCTACGCCGCCTCCCAGGTAAGACAGACAGACAGGCCGCGGTGAACCGGGCTGAAGCGGGTGAGGATCGCCTTCCTCCTCTGGGTGTTCCGGATGGGGGGCATCGCCACCCCGAGCGTCCGAGAGGTCGCGTGCAGTCAGCTCTCTCTCACACGCGAACCAGAGCAGAGCGTGAATCATGCAGAATGCATTAATGATTTTCTAGCTGCAGATTCACCGTGTTGATTGCTCTTAAGCAAACATTGAACAATTTTCAGTCACTATAACTCACAAACTTGGGGTCGGGGGGAACGGTGGGGTGTGGACAATGCAATCCGGGTACGTCTGCGATGGCTCAGGGAAACCAGGCTGGGATTTCACGATCGGTGTGGGGAATCAGGCAGACTCTAAAAGTACGTTAAGCCACAGGGGAAAGCCAAAGGAAACATTCGATACCTTCCCGGAGCTTTGGTACTGGATTAGACCTCCTCCCTAATTGCAACTACGGATTTAAGAAACAATACTTGTATTGCTCATGAAATGGTAGGAGTAATGAGGATTATATCTCTGTGAAAGGACTAAAAGAAGTCTCTGGAAGAAAGAGATACATTTTGAGGTCACAGGCCTGTTACAGATATGCAGGGCTTGAAACGTTGTATTTGGACTTGTTGATTGTGTCTTTATTCTGAACTCTCAGGGTGGTTCTCTTATCATCTTCATCAGTGACTGTGTTTTAACCTATTGGTCACACCCTAGACACATTTTAACATCATTAACTATTCACCACTTCACCATAAATGAGTAATGATTTAGCCAGGAAGAGCTGACAGAACACAACAGAAGGAGTGAGAAGATTTGGTTGTTAGTCACTCTTTACCAATTACTAACTATGGCATCTTGATTATATGCATAATCCCTTTCGGGTGGGTGAGAGGGCATTTCATATTTTTTTTTGATGATATTTTTTTATATTATCAGATTGCCTTTAATTTTATTTTGCAAGATTATTTTATAAAGTATCCCTGCTTTCTACTAATGGCTACATTTTAAGGAGACTATGGGGAGAGAGTATCCCCTTTTAGATTTTCTTATTTGTTTAATATTTAGATTTTAAAAATTAATGTTATTCATACACATAGTTTAAAAACTCAAATAGGCAGGGCATGGTGGCTCACGCCTATAATCCTAGCACTCTGGGAGGCCGAGGCAGGCGGATTGCTCGAGCTCAGGAGTTCGAAACCAGCCTGAGCAAGAGCAAGACCCCGCCTCTACTATAAATAGAAAAGAAATTAACTGGCCAACTAATATATATATATATATAAAAAAAATTAGCCGGGCATGGTGGCGAATGCCTGTAGTCCCAGCTACTTGGGAGGCTGAGGCAGGAGGATCGCTTGAGCCCAGGAGTTTGAGGTTGCTGTGGGAGTAGGCTGACGCCACGGCACTCACCTAGCCTGGGCAACAAAGCGAGACTCTTGTCTCAAAAAAAAAAAAAGTAAAAACTCAAATAGTTCTAAAGGGTTTGTTGTAGAATAAAAACTGTCTTCCCCTCTCCCACTAACAATATTTCTCACTGCCTAGAAATGGCAGCTTTCGGTCATTTTAGCTAATCTCTTTGGTATAACCATATGATTTCATGCTTATTTTGTTCCAGGTTTTTGGTGTTGGGCATTATCTAATGATATCCTACCATCAAAGATTAGGATTTAGTTCTTTCAATTCTCTGCAACCTCCACCACATACAAACACACACACACACCCATTTCCTCCCCACCCTCATTTATAATAATCTTGGCTAGAGGCCGGGAATGGTGGCTCATACCTTAATCCCAGCATTTGGGGAGGCTGAGGCAAGAGGATCACTTGAGGCCAGGAGTTCGAGACCAGCCTGGGCAACATCGTGAGACTCTGTCTCTATTAAAAAAAAAAAAAAAAGAAGAAAGACTTGCTAGAGCAATACTCAGTGTTTAGTGTTTTTGTGGTCATAAAAATGTAGTCAGAGTTGAACCACATAGTATACTATGAAATAACAAAATGAACATTTTTTTCCTTGTAGAAGTTAACAAATGGCTTGGCATAAGTCTGGATATTTGGTGGGTTCCTTTGTTTTTTTTTGTTTTTGTTTTTTTTTTTCCAATGGACACAAAGATGTAGTGGTGGGTTCCTTTGAAGGAACCAGATCCCCAAGTGCTGCCCCTCGACCCAATCCAAACTTCACAGAACAAATCCCTTTGTTAAAAGGATCTGTTCTGTAAAATTTGGGTTCAGTTAAAAGGCAGCACTCAAGGATCCAGAAGGCCACATTGTGGCCCCAAGGCCACAGGTCCCCACCTCTGGCTAGACACTGATATCCTTCATTTCTGGGAAATTTTCTTTAATTTTTTCTTCAATAATTTCTTCCCTTCCATTGTCTCTTTTCCCTCTTTCTGGAATTCCTACTGTTGGATATCCTGGACTTTTCCTCTATTATCCTTATTTTTTTTCTCTTTCCTCTTTTTCCTCTTTGTTTATTTGCTCTGCTTTCTGGAAGAGTTTCTCAACTTTATCTTCCAACCCTTCTGTTGAATTTTCCCTGTCTGCTCTCATTTTTAAATTTCCAGGAGTTCTTTTTGGTTCTTTGAATGTTCCTTTTTTATAGCATCGTACAGATGCAATATCATCTTTTGTCTCTCTGAAGTTTTCAGTGGGAGTTTTTGTTCTGATTTCTTTTTATTTCTTTATAATAGAAATTTTCCACATTGCATAAGGTAGAGAACATAATATGATATAATGGATCCTTCTATACCTATCATCCAGCCTCAACAATGATCCGCATTATCTTATTTAATCCATATCCCCGCTTTTAAAACAATTTATGTAGAGACACATATTACAGATATTTCAATGTGGATCTCTAACAGATAAAGATTTTTCTTATTTTTTATTTTTTTATTTTTGAGACAGAGTCTCGCTTTGTTGCCCAGGCTAGAGTGAGTGCCCTGGCATCAGCCTAGCTCACAGCAACCTCACACTCCTGGGCTCAGGCGATCCTCTTGCCTCAGCTTCCCGAGTAGCTGGGACTACAGGCATGCGCCACCATGCCTGACTAATTTTTTTTTCTATATATATTAGTTGGCCAGTTAATTTCTTTTCGATTTATAGTAGAGACGGGGTCTCGCTCTTCCTCAGGCTGGTTTCAAACTCCTGACCTCGAGAAATCAGCCCGCCTCCGCCTCCCAGAGTGTCAGGATTACAGGCGTGAGCCACCGCGCTTGGTCAAGATTTTTCTAATAGACTAAATATTACACTTTTGTTTTTCCCTGACTACCTCTTCCTACCCGGGTCTGTGCGAGTTTCTGTTCTCTGCATGTCTGCCCTGGTCTCCGGCCTTTGTGTCAGGTGCCTTCCTCAGGGCCCGGTGGTCGACCATTGGTGCTCTGCTCATACTTAAGAACAGGACACCGAGAAGCTGACTGGTAGCTGCATGCGTGGGTGGGCTTGTTGAGTGTGCTCTTCATTGTAGAATGATCTAGCTCGGTCACTTCCTTGGGGAACTTCTGAGGTCCTAAGTTTTAGGGTTCCTCTTGGGCTCATCAGATTCCATAAAGGACACCATGCCAATCCTGCCTCTTGGCAGATGCCTGGATTCTAGCGTTCTGAGAACCGAGTTGGGAAGGTCCAGAGACCCCTGGCGCGCAGTAGGGAGGGCGGGCAGCACAGAGGCACAGCCAGGGCAAGGGCAGGGCCACTGCCCCTCACGAAACTGTCGCCTGATCCCCCTGCTCCCTGCCAACCCCAGCTTCAGGGCCTTTTCGGGATTTGCTGGTGGGAGTCAGATGGCCTCTCGGTCCCCTGCAGCCAGCTTGGTGTTTGGCTCTCGGCTCTGCCAGGCTGGTCACCACCCGTCCGTCTGCTTCCCTTGTCCAGATTCTGTTGCTGTTCTCTTGTCTCCCATCATCTTTGTCCTCGTGTTGTTCGTTATCGTTTGAGTGTTATTTATCGTTGTTTTAGTGTGGTTTGTTAACGTTTATTGATGTTTAATGTTGTTTTAGTGTCTCGTTTTAGTAGGGTTTGGGGAGACAGCAGAGCTGAGTGCCTTTTTCAGTCCTCCATCTTTAACCAGAAATCGTGGGCTTAAAAAACAAAATAAAACATGATTTTCACGGAGAAAACCGAGAGGAAATTGGTTAAATTGGCTGGTTTTTTTTTTTGTTTTTTTTTTAAAGACAATAGAAATTGTCATTAAATGGGAAATGCCCTGTGGGGAAGTGAGATTTGAAATACTTTGAAAGAACAGACAGCAGCATCTGGGCAGAGCTTAGATACCAGGGTGAGGGAGAGCTCAGGCTTCTCTCTCCCTTCGACATTTCCTGATCCTGAAAGACTCACTACTAGAAACTCAGAAGCTAGCCAGAGCCTTTGTTTGTTTGTTTGTTTGTTTGTTTTGTAGATGGTGTCCTCAGATCAAAGCCAGCTTTCCTTCCTGCCCTCGGAAGCTCAGGCCCAGGTGTCCCCGCCGCCGCCATACCCGCGCACCCCCCGAGCTGCCCCAGCCTCTCCTCCAGCAGCCCCGCCAGCAGCCCCGCCAGCAGCCCCCGCCCAGCAGCCCCCTGCCCAGGAGGCCCGGTCCGACTTCCAGTTCCTCCCGTCCCAGGTAAGTCCCCGCAGGGACGTCGGAGAGTGGGAACGTTTGTTTTGCTCCGAGTTCCAGGCTAAATGGTCACCTCCTTGTTCCCTGAAGGGCTCGTCTTTGACCAACTTCTTCCTGGACGTGGGCTTTGACCAGCAGTCCGTGAGGCCGGGCCCAGCCTTTCCCCAGCAGGTAGGCGACTGCCACCGTCTTCTCCTTCCTTGGCGCATCAGCTGCGCGTTCAGGCTGTTCGGCGTGCAGGACCCACAGGCAGACAGGCCAGACGCTCTGCCCCCGGCTTCAGATGTGTTCCTAGGAGAACAGATGTGTTCCTAGGAGAACAGATGTGTTCCTAGGAGAACAGATGTGTTCCTAGGAGAACAGATGTGTTCCTAGGAGAGCCCTGCGAGGCCGGCGCGGGCTGCCTCGTTTAGCGTCAGGCCTCCCAGAGGAACCGTCTGGGCAAGTGGTAGAAGACTCTCGATGACAATCTCGTCATAGAATTATAGAACCATCAACACTGGAAGGGACCACAGCAGCCAACTAATGTCCGCTCATGTTGAGGAAACTGAGGCATAGGGAGGGGTGGGGCCTGGTCCCGGGAGCAGAGTTGGAAAGTGGCACCCAGCACTGTGTGGCCTCCCAGGAGAGCCTGGTCTCGGGGGCGGTGGCGTACTTCCGCAGGGTATCTTCATTCAGCCCCTTCCTTGTGCTGTTTAGTTTCTCCCTAATACTGACCTTTTTTTTTTTTTTTGGATTTGACTGAGAGCATAGTCACAGCAACCTCAATCTCTGGGGCTCAAGCGATCCTTCTGCCTCAGCCTCCTAAGTAGCTGGGACTACAGGCATGCGCCACCATGCCCGGCTAATTTTTTTTTTTTTGTATATATATTTTTAGTTGGTCAATTAATTTATTTCTATTTTTGGTAGAGACGGTGTCTCGCTCAGGCTGGTTTCGAACTCCTGACCTTGAGCAATCCGCCCGCCTTGGCCTCCCAAAGTGCTAGGATTACAGGCGTGAGCCACTACGCCCGGCCGACCATTTTTAATAGTCCTAAATTTTATAGTGTTTAATAAGCATAGATTGAGTTCTAGGGTGCATTAAGGAGTGAAGGAACAGTTGAGCAGTTTCCAGAACTTAATAGTAATAGTTGGTGTTATTATACTTAGCTATTACACTTAAGTATTGTTATACTTACCTATTTCCTGAGTGGGCCTTGTGGTAAGAGCCAGTAGTCCTTACCTTCCCATTTTCTAAAGAGCCCATTTTGATCCAGGTGAGAATCAGTGTTTCCCTGAAAAATGGTGGAAACTCCTTCTTTGGGGACATTTGAAAAAATGACTTAGAAAATTAATTTCAGGGAAAACACCTAAAATCGGCTCCAGTTCTAACCAGTCCTCATGGAGGCTTATCATGGACAGGTGCTTACCTGAGCTTCTCCCTTCTGAGTAGGAAAAGGGCACACAGAAAAACACTGTCTGTCTTCTGGAAACCAAAGAAAGAGTCTATCACCTCCTCAGGTACAGATGGAGCCTTTGAAGTGTTCCGCCAAACGGCGGCTGGCAAAGGCCTTGGTGAGGCCGAGGAGGAGAGATGCCTGGGGCCCCAGAGGGGCTGCGGAAACCATGAGCACCGGTGTCCCACAGGCTGGGCTGTGTGTGGATGGGGAAAGGTCACCCGCACTGTGCACCTCGGGGACCCTCCTCCACCCCAGCATCCGCCTGCCCAGTCACCACACAGCGGAGCACTCTGGGGTCCGAGAAAGAAGGGAATCTGGCCGGGCGTGCTGGCTCACACCCTGTCATCCTAGCCACTCTGGGAGGCCAGACGCGGGAGCGCTCGCTCAAGGTCAGGAGTTCGAAAACCGAGCCCGCAGCAAGAGCGAGGACCCGCATTCTCATACTAACCGCCCAATAGAAAGAATTAATTGGCCAACTAACGATACTAAATACGAAACAAAACAAATTCGCCGGCCACTGGTCTGGGTGCACATGCTGTAGTCTCAGTACTCCAGGGAGGCCTGAGGCAGGAGGGATGGCTTGAGCCCAGGGTTTGGGTTGCTGTGAAGCATAGGCTGATGCCATACAGCACTCACTCTAGCCCGGGCCAAACCACACAGCTGAGACACTCTGTTTAACAAACAAAAAAAAGAAAGCAAGCGAACGGGAATCCTAAGACAGTTTCGCACGTCCGGCTTTGCTTGAGAGCACATTGCACCGGCGCTCCACCTGGACCTTCCTTGGGAGCCAACAACCCTTCCTTCCACAACTGTGACCTCGTTGATGGCTTCCCCAGTGCCCCTCGGTGGCAACAGGTCACCCGCGGAACCCGCACGGACCTCCGCTTGCTCATGTTGAGACCACAACCTGCTATCTCCAACTGTGGGAATTTCCCCCGCAACACCATCTCCCCTGCCAGGTGCCGTGGGCCCACCCCCGACCCTTCTTCACCGTTCATATTTCGCTGCGTTTTCAC